GGGGGTGGGGAGTGGGGATGGTGCCGCACCCCAAGGCCAGGCCTCTCTGATCCTGCTTCCAGGCCCAGAACTCCTCCTGCCAGATTCTATCCCACCCCAGAGAGGGGCGGTCACTTCTCCAGGACACTCAGCAAGACAGAGGCCCAAGCACTGAGAGTTGTTCGGCACTGGCCCCATCTTGGACTGTGCTCTGGGGGGTAGTAGGTAGGAGAGGACTGGGCTGGGCCTCTGCCTCCTTCAGGGGCAGAACCATTTCTGCAAAGGGCAGAAAGCCCATGACCCTCAGGGGGAGGGGCTTGAGAGGAGGGGGAATCCAGAAGCCCAGCTGGACAGAGGAGAAACTCAGTGTGTCGGATAATGTCTAAACCGATGAGGGGCCAGGCAAGCTGGCAAGGACTTCCAGAAGGAAGAGGGCTACAGTGTCCTTGGGGAAGAGGGACTCTGAGAAGAGAGGGGCTGTGCCCTGGGCCCTAGAGAACAGGGCGGCATTCCTGCAGGACTCTGCCAAGGTCAGCGCCCTGCTCCATGGACAGAGGACTCTGCTCCAGGACCTGCAAGAGATGAGGTAAGGGCACCTGCGAGGAGGGGTCCTGGGGGAGGGACAGAGAAGCCCTGCTCCACCCACTTGCTCAGCCTCAAGTTCCTCCATTGGCCCCCTATTCCTTTCCTCACTTCCTGAGCATCTGGCACAAAGTCTGGCACATAAGGAGGGGCTGGGGCAGAGTTAGGTTTGTCCAGTTGACCTGAACTTAATTGAATCAAGTTTAAAGTCTGAAATTCCTAGTTTAAAAGTAACTCTCCCTGGAAGGGACTCTTCATGAGAGCCCCTATCAGACACCCCACTTGCCCAGGGAAAGTTGATAAATCTGAGCCGTCCTTCAGTGACAGCTCCTGGAAGGAGGGGATTTTTTTTTTTTTTAAGATTGTATTTATTTATTAGAGAGAAACAAAGCACAAGCAGGGGGAGCCAGGCAGGGGGAGAGGGAGAAGCAGACCCCCTGTTAAGCAGGGAGCCCACTCAGGGCTTGATACCAGGACCCTGGGATCATGACCCGAGCCAAAGGCAGATGCTTAACTGACTGAGCCACCCAGGCGCCCCACAGAAGGGATGTTTTAATGACATTCTTGGAGGAACCATAACCAAGATTGGGCCCAGCTGAAGGGGGGGGCAGTCCCTGATTTCTTTTTGCCCCCACTCCAGCTCCCCAACACCCCACTTTAGGCCAAGCCTCAGGAGCTACCTCGAGAGCTCTGGGGACAGGGAGGTCACCTTGATGCCACAGAGGAGGAAAGCTTCAGGCTAGATGCTGGATTCTGGGTGCCTCACCCACATCTAGATGCTTGGGGGTGGGGACATGGGAAGAGGGAGAGGAACTAAATCCCCTGGGGGCTGGGGATGGAAAGCAGAGCCCAGGGAGGCTAGAGTTGAGACAGACAACTTTAAGGGGACCTTTCTCTGAGCTAAAGCTGTCTGAGGATACAGGAAGAAGGTTTGGAGAAAGAAGACAGCCCCTAAGAAGGTGCCCTATGGATGGTGCCTGTTTCCCACCAGGTGCTGCTGTTAGGGATTATGAGAAATGGTTAGGAGGTTTGGGTGCAACCAGAAGGCATAATGAGTCATCTCCCTTGGTTTCCACCCCCCACCAGGGATGCAGCTGCCCACGTGGCCTCAAGAGCCCAGCTCTTCTATCTGCCTGTGGGCACCAAGCATCATTTCTTAGAGCTGGCCCAGATCCTGAGCCTCCTGCAGAAGGACCTTCAGGGCCCACTGGTGAGAGGGAAGGAAGGGGTACCATGAGGACCCCATCCTTGAGGTCTGGGCTCAGGCCCCCTTCCTCTAGCACTTCGGCATCCCCAGGCCCTCCTGCCCTTGTGCTCCCCTCTTGGGACTGCTGGCAGGCACACCAGTGTCTGTGTCTGTAATACACATGTGATCTTCTCTCTGCCCTCTCTGCCCTCTCTGCCCTCTGGAGGCTCCCATAGACTCTCAATGCCAGCAGGGCCCTGGAGACCCTTGGGTCCAACGCCCCTCAGTGACCAGAAGGGAAACGGGAGTATTCAGAGCTCGGTGATAAAGCCCTCCCTTCCCCGTGCCCCATCTTGCTCTTACCTTTGCCCTCACCATCACCTTGTCTTTCGTTCTCTACTTCTCTCTTTCTCATCTCTAGAGCCTTCGGAGAGCCCTGATGATCCCAGGCCCTAGGCCTTCCCAGCTGTTCCCACAGATGGAGCTAGAGGGGGGGATGCTTTGTTCTCTGACCCCTCTCCAAGTTCCCTGGATGAGAGCCAGGGTGCCCCAAGCCCGGGGAAAGGAAGTAGAGCCCACACATGGCCCAGATCCCAGGTCCCCTTTTTCCTTTTGGGTGAGAAGCTGATCCAGGACTTTAGAATGTCCCCTTTCAGGAAGCAGCAACCAAGAAGCCCCGCCCACCTGGCCAACCCCCAGGGGCCTCCTCATGCCTGCAGCCCAGCATCTTCTTGTTCTTCCTCCTCATTCAGACTATAGGCTTCTTCTGTTACGTGCACTTCAGGTGGGTCTTCCCATGGGTAAGACATCCTACACCTACCTGGCATCTCTTAATTCTGGGTCATAGCCACTCGATTTGAGAGATGGGGCACTGAGGCCCAGGGGGACTGTGCCTGGTCTACCAGCTGACAAGGAGCAGCACGCAGGCTAGGACCCATTTTTCTGATAGGCTCTACTGACCACTGGCTCAATTGCCGGCCCCATCTAAGTCCTGCAATCACAGAAATCACTTGCTGGTGTGAGAAACTGATGAGTAACTGATAGTTATGTGGTCAGTGCCATGATGGCAGGAAGCTCAGGGGCTATGACAGTACAGGAAAAAAGCACTTGACCCAGCTTGGGGCGATCAGGGCATTGACCTGTAAGGGACATTGGATATGGGTCATCAAGGTAACTAGAAGTTTTCCAGCCTGTCAAGATAAGTAAAGGCATCAGTGCAGAGGAATAGCATGAGAAAAGGCATGGAAGCATGAAGAAAGCACAATATTCTGGAGAAGAAGTGGCAAGTTCAGTACTGTCAAGGCAAAGTGTGGGACCAGTTTGTGAAACTGGGCAAAGAGAATTTAAAAGGTGGTCGGAGGTCACTAATTCCGCTTGGTGGGTGTTTGTTGAATGAATGAAACATTTAGAGATGGAGAGTGTGCTAAGGTGCTCAGAAATGGGACTGACAGTCCTTATTGGTGGAATTTCAAGACAAGAAGAATCAGTGTGGTCTGGGGTGGTGCCGGGGGAGAAGTGAAGTGTGCTGAGCTTTAACAGCAGAGTAGAAGCGGGGACAGCCTCCAGGTGAGAACAGCAAAGGTACAAAGTGGAAATGATGACAAGCTTATGCATTATGTAGGCTTGCAATGGTGGCCATAAGGCTGGAGCCACCTGGACAGACCCTGAATGCCAGAGGAAGAATGTGGTCTTGATGGGGCAGGCCAGGGAGCCACAAAAGGTCCTAGAACAGGGGAGGCTCTGGGGGAGAGATGCTAGAGAGGTGAGTGTGGGAGCCTGGTCTCAACAACCCCAAAGGCAGATATCCAAGTAACCTTCTTCTCCTTTCCCTGGCAGTAGGCAGGAGCTGGACAAGAGCCTTTGGGACTGTTTGTCCACAGGCAGCCCTCTGTGTCCTGCACCACGCATCCCTGGGGCCCTGGGGGTTCTGAGGAGGCAGCCTCTCTCCCCCAGCATGCATGCATGACTCACCTGAAAACCCTGAAGGAGGTGGATGGTGTCTAGGGAGTAGAGAGCTTGGCCAATACCTTCTCCTTCTGGGTGCCCAGCTCCTGCCTGCACCTTAACTTTTGCGGAGCTCCAGTCTTATTAAAGGTGATTTACATCTTCCCATGCCCCATGCTTTGATATGCTCATTTACCTTCTGACTTCACCTTAATCTTTCTGAAGACTTTCACTTTTTCTGGACAGGTAGCTGGCAGTGGGCTCCAAGCAGGCAAGGAGGTCAAGGACTGGCTTGATTGCCAAAAGACCAGATACCCCACAGCCTTGAGCCCTTAGACGAGGGAGGGAGAGGAAGTCCCAACTGTGTTAATTCTATCCCCAAATTCACCCAGAACAAAGAGTGGTATCTCCAGGGGTCCTTCTTGGCTCAGTCCAGCCAACATCACCATGAACAGCCCTCTCCTTCTCCACTTCTTGCAACTTTAGGGTTCAGTGGGGCTGGTAAGTGACGGAGAACTCTGAGGCAACCCATGGAGACATAATTGGGATTCCTGCTTTCTGGTCTCCCTCCCTTTCCCAGCGTCCAGATCTTTGAGCAGCTGCTGGGGCAGCGGGATGGGGAGGATGGGGTAGGGCCCAGGGCTGGATCTTTGCCCCTTGCTGCCACTTGAAACCGCCAGCTGAAATCCTGGCTTTCAGCGACCTGGGAGAGGAGGGGGTGGAGGAAGAGTAGGGAGCAGGGTTCCAGGCGCATCAGTGCAGCCCCTTTCCCTGGGGAGCGACCCCACCCCCGCAGGCCCTAATCCGTTGTCAGCAATGCCCAGGCGGAGCTTGGCGTGGAAGGAGGCACGTGGGGGAGGCGGGAGTGCGGAGCGGGCACGTGGTCCAGCCTCCTCAGCCCCGTGCATGCCCCCCGCCCCCCGTGAGGAGGGGTTTGGGGAGGTGGGGGCGGGCCTGGGCAGGGGCGGGCAGCGGGAGGCTCAGAGCGTGGGGCGCCGGCCCGCGGCAGGAGCTGTCCGCGAGACCTAGTGCTGAAGTAGGTGCGGACGTGCCTGGCTCCTGGAGCCCGGTGCCAGGGCCAGCGAAGACCATGGCGTTCATGGTGAAGACTATGGTGGGCGGCCAGCTGAAGAACCTCACCGGGAGCCTGGGGGGCGGCGATGACAAGGGGGACGGGGACAAATCGGCGGCCGAAACGCAGGGCATGAGCCGAGAAGAGTATGAGGAGTATCAGAAGCAACTGGTGGAAGAGAAGTGAGTGGGATCCTTTCCTGCCTCCAACGACCTTCCCCCACCCCCTCCAGCCACCTGGCCCACCACTAGGGCGGTTTCAGACCCCGAGTCTCCTTACCTTACTTTTTTAGACATGGTAAGAAGCTGGGATCTGCTTTCTAGGCTGACCCCAGATCCACCCCATCTCAAACCCAGGACCCTGTCCCAGCTTCGCACTCTGGGCCCAGAGGGAGTGGGGGCAGGGACAGGAGGGACCTGGGATGGGGTGGGGGCACGTGCATTTCTGACGAAACAAGTAATCCCTTAATCCGATCTGGTCCTAGCTGTCTGCATCTTCCAACTGGAGCTCCTTTGAGCCTGAGGTTCTGAGAAAAGCGATGCAGCTGAGGGGTCTCAGAGTCACAGAGACAGATCTTGAGAAGGGGCACTCAAAGATATTGAGCCTCAATGTCTACTTGTGTGCAGGCAGTGCTGGCACAGAAAGGCAGCTGGGGCTGGACTCCAGAGCTAGGCTGCTTAGTTAGGTTCAGATCCAGGTTTTTCTTCTTTTTAGCTGGGTGACTTTAAACTGGTTACTTAAACCTTTCTGTGCCTCAGTTTCCTCTTCTGTAAAATGGGGATGGTAACCATAAAACATGCCTTATATATTTAGAAGGATTAAATTATTTAACGCATGTAAACTGCCTAGCACAGTGCCGGGCACATGGTGTATCATTAAATATTAGCTATTATTTCGCTTAATCCTGATAATAGTTTTGTGAGTTGCAAAAGAGGGAAATAAGTGACATATCCAAAGTAGCGGTGCAGCCAGGACGCAAACCCAAGTCTGTCCCGAATACTTTCCCCCACACGACACAATCTGTCAGGAAGGGAAAAGACAGACGGAGTTAAGAAGCCTCGAGGGACACATATTAGGGTCTGCAGAGCGAGCCAGACAGGCTGACGCTCCCTCCCCGATAGTCCAGTGGCAGGTGCAGGGACAACAAAGGGCCGCGATGATGGGGGGAAGGCAGCACAGACTAACCGAGGCTGCCAGGTCGGAGCACCCTCGCGACACACAGGCGACCCTGGCAGGAGCGAAGCTGTTCGCGCCGCGGGACGCGGAGACCCCTCCCCCTTTCCTCGCAGACCCCGCCCTTTCTCTCAGCCCTTGAGATGACTCCGCCTCGGTGCTCCCGCAGGATGGAGCGGGACGCGCAGTTCACGCAGAGGAAGGCGGAGCGGGCCACGCTGCGGAGCCACTTCCGAGATAAATATCGCCTGCCCAAGGTAAGCTTAGGAGCCTGGGCTGGTAGGCACATGGGGACCCTGAGCTTAGAGCTCCCCACTCTTTCTCCGGACTCTGGTCTCTGCAACTCTCAGCTCCTAAAACTCACGGAGTTCTTGGTTGGATCCTTCGTTCTCTGACTCAGAGGCCAGGGCTTGGTGCTGAAGGTAAGCCCAGCCTTCCCAAGACTGATAGGTTTGTGTTTCTGGAGCCAGTTCAGACCCCTTCTCTCCCCCCACGTCCCCCTCCCCCAAACCCCAATCAGGCCCAGGCAGATGAAGAAGTGGAAGGCAGTAGATTTTACCACAAGGTTGAGTACACTTGGAGCTCCTGCACACCCAGGGAGGGCGGGGTCGGGTAGAGAATGCAGCACCCACTGTGTGCCAGGCACTTAGCCTTCATGCCCTCATGTAGCCCCTCAATAATTCTTCCATGTAGCTATCACCCACACTACAGATAAGGAAACTGAGGCTCAGAGAGATTAAGGAACTTGACAAGGCCACACAGCCAGCTAGTGTGGGAGCGGGGCCAGAGCTCAAGCCTGTGAATGTGGAACCTCAGCTTGCTGTAGGACCCCTGGCTGCCTTCCAGGGTATGGAGTCCGCCTGCAGAGAGCAAAATGCCCGTTGGTTGGTCAACAGCCAGGAGGATGTCTCCCATAGGCACTGCAGCACTAGATGGGCATGTAAGTGTTGCCTAACGAGGAAACTGAGGCACAAGGTACTCCCAGTGCCCAGAATCTTCCACTTGAATTGGAAGATCAGACATGCGAACATCACATTCATTCATTCAACAAATGTTTACTGATCCCTTGGCTGCCTCTGGCTCTCCACAGGGTACCAGTCTCTCAGCGGGAAAACCAGTCCAGAAAGCTGGGAAAGCTACTGAGTTAAACCCAGCTAGGAATGGAGTCATTGCTCAAATGCTTGACTAAGCACAACTCCTGTCATCAGGGAACTCTGAGTCTAATAAAAGAGGGAAGACTTGGCTGTAACTGAGTAGGACATGAAGTGGGAAGCGCCAGGGTCTCCAAAGGGGTAGAGAAATGCAACGACAACCAGTAGGTGTTGTGCAAAGAGATCACAAATGTTGGAATCCATGATGTAGGTTTATTTTTTTTTAATATTTTATTTATTTATTTGAGAGAGAGAGAGAGCACAAGTGGGGGGAGGGGCGGAGGGAGAGAGAGAAGCAGACTCCCCGCTGAGCAGGGAGCCTGACACGGGACTCGATCCCAGGACCCCGGGACTATGACCTGAGCCGAAGTCAGCCGCTTAACCAACTGAACCACCCAGGTGTCCCCATGATGTAGGTTTAAAACAAGTGCCCCTGCTTCCTAGTTGTGCGACATCCACAAGTTATTTACTTAAATTGAATAATTTACTTACTTAAACTGAGCCTCAATTTCCTTATTTGTAAAATAGAAATAAGAGGGCGCCTGGGTGGCTCAGTTGGTTAAGCGACTGCCTTCAGCTCAGGTCATGATCCTGGAGTCCCTGGATCGAGTCCCGCATCGGGTTCCCTGCTCAGCAGGGAGTCTGCTTCTCCCTCTGACCCTCCCCCCTCTCATGTGCTCTCTCTCATTCTCTCTCTCTCAAATAAATAAAATCT